ACGCTAGTTTGGATGAGGAAGAGACGGGTTCAGGGACATCAGGAGCAGATATGGAGGAACATCTGGAAGTTGCCAGAGGCTGCCAGGAATTGCGAGGCCAAGCACAACAGAGCAGTTGCAGAAGGAGCAAGTGGCCAGTTGAGCTTTGGGCCAGAGAGGCACAGCTATAGTTGGGAAGCCCAGAGGCTTTGGAGAAGAGGGCACGCAGCTGCAGCTGGTTAGTCAGCGGAGATGAGAAAGATCTGTCTAATCCTCACCCCCACCCAATCTGAGAGTGCATAGGGTTGAGAGGAGGCAGGCACAATGAAGGTCAGCCAGGGTATTTGTGAGTCAGCATCCTTGCCCCTCTTGATGGACTGCACTGGGGAGTGGCCATTTAGCTCAGCGCTTGGGATGCGAGGCTGGAAGCAACATGTCCGTTTCCTTGCTGTGCGTTCTTCAGCTGCAGTGATTTTTGCCTTGACTACCAGACTTGGATTCTGTTCTTTGAACTTTGGATCATGCCTCTTGAACTCTGGACTTGCCTTTGCTCTGTGGACTGGCACGGGGTTTTCCTTGAAGGCCCTATTGAATCGTTGGGGGTGGCGCTGATGTGCGTGTGAGGAATTTCTGGGGAAGACTATTTGGGGCTTGGAAGCCTCAATAAAGACTTCTAACACCTGTGGCCTGTATGTACAGTATGTGAGCGGGATAGGACACCAGGACTGAATTTTATTTTTATTTACAGGTAGTGCTTCACTTGCAACAATTCATCTAGTGACCATTCAAAGTTACAACAGCACTGAAAAAAGTGTCTTATGACTGTTTTTTACATTCCTGACTGTTGCAGCATCCCCATGGTCATGAGATCAAAATTCAGACGCTTGGCAACTGACTCATATTTATGATGGTTGGAGTGTCCTGGGGTAACATGCTCACCTTTTGTGACCTTCTGACAAGCAAAATCAATGGGGAAGCCAATTCACTTAACAACCTAACTAAATTAGTTGTTACTAACTTAACAACTGCAGTGATTCCCTTAATAAACATGTCAAGAAAGGTTGTAAAATGAGGTAAAACTC